AACAACTCTTTCATTGCTACCACCCGCGGCGCATAAGCAGCAGAATGATGCATGCCTCTGCCCGGGATAAGACCTGGGACCTTCTGTTTACAAGACACATGCTCTTGCACTGAGCCACACAGGCTGACTCGGTAACGTGGGTCAGGTGGTCAATGAATTTGGACCTCACGGTGTGTTATGCGGGTTCTAGCCCAAAATCCTAATGGAACCAGACATGCACGAAATGTCGACTGCATGCTAAATATTACCAACAACAGCCAAAATTGGACTTCGGGATGGCGACTCGTACAAGAAAAAAGCAAGATCAGAAAGATCGGGACGTCCCGCGCTTCCCGGCAATAGCCAGGGAAGTAGATGGACCATGAGCTGAGCTCAAGCGGTGGCCCTGAGCTCTTGCGGTCGCAGATACAGAGCTCGCGAGAGCGTTAAAAGGTTGACCCATACGTCGAAGGGCGACAATCTGAAGGGAGTCGACAGCGTGGTCTGAGTTTGGCAAACTCAAATCGGAGGTGGCGCTTCACACGCATGTCCACTATCTTGTGGCCCAACTGTAAGGCATGCAGTGAGGAAAGTTTTCGGTGCCATTGCACCTATCGCTCAAAGAGCGCTTCGTCATCTGTAGCGCTTTCGTCAGGAACGAGCACTACCAGTATCGCCCGCTTTGCGCGTACACGAGGGTCACCTCGTTGAGCATGCAGTCGAGTGCGATAAATGTCCAACGGAACTTCTTGTGGGACTAAGAAGCGAGCTCGAACAGCTTTCCGTTCGGCAGGCCCAGCTTCCATAATGGCCGGGGGTCCGGTGATGTGGACGCGTAACGATCGAGTTACCAGGTTCTCGTTTTTACAAAAGGCGGAAGCCATATTCCACACGAGGGTCAATGACTAACCGTGGATGGGCGCGCATCAGAGCCGCCTTACGCGCATCTTCCAGCTGCCGCCGCTGTGCCTTGTCGAGGTCATTGGGGATGACGCCACATCCCTCAGGTGACGAGAGGTCAGGAAACGAACATGGGGTCCGCAAGTCGCGAGCAGGGCTCGTCTCACGCCGCTGGCGCGGTTCGCATTTAACCCGGGAAAAGGAATGTTAGACTCGTAGTCGACCAATCCACATCCCCGACGAGGTCACTCGTCACTGATAGCGTGCGTGGAGCGCGACGATCGGGCTCATCGAGCCTAGAATTTACATCCCTCGATGCCACGGACAAACGGTCCGACATGGCACCGCGTGCGAAAGACAAAGTGGGCTCTACCCGTGAGCGCTGTCGGAACCAGCGAGACTTGGAGACTTCGGTGTCATTGACATAGGGCTCATTGAGCACGGAAGTCTATTCGTTCCAACGCCGTGTCTAACGGACACGCAAGCCTCGTTGATGCAATAATCGATTGGAACTGTAAATTTTTCAATTTTAACGGGGGAGTGTGTAACGGGATTACACATACCCTGGTGAAAGGGGCGTGTGTCACACCGTTACAGCTTCTGCTGTAAGTGCTATCAGAGCATATCCATAATTTAAAAATGCCCTTTGGTATGCGCTAATGGCCTCGGAACCTTGCGCAACGAGGTGCTCCACGCTCTCAGGGCCCAGCAGGGACATCAGCTTATTAGACCCGTCCTGCATGCCCTGGGGCAAATAGGAGTATTATTTCCTCACAGAGGATCAGTCGTAACGATTCAGGCATAGATTGACTACTAGTGCCACCAAGTGCAGCGGGGACTGCCATAACTCTTTGCTTAGAGGAAGCTAAGCTAAGGTCACCGACCGTATGTTCTTTTCAGAAACCAGTACTCTTGGAGGTAGCGGATTGCGATCCGCTACCTCCAAGAGTACTTAAGACCTAAATCAAGGTAAAGCGCTCTTCCATTTAAAATTGAAACTGTATTTAATTGTTTTATTGTGGCAGAGCAGCCTATATCTAAGATCTTAGGTCCTTCTAATTCAATAGTCAGACCTAATTAATATGCATAGCTTCGAGCAAGCCTGCCACGTGGTGGCTTCTCGTTACGGTGTAGC